CGGCCTTCGGTAAGTGCGCGCACCTGGCGCGGCACTGCGGGCCACACTCTGGAGCGGGGAGGGCGCACACTGCCGTTGCTGCTTGATGTGAGGGTAACTGTCACCGTACGTGAAGCTGCCCCTTGCTGAAGGCGGGGCAGACAGGCTGGGTCCGACCTGGTGCAGCTTTGGCCAGTCGGCCTTGGGGTGCAGGCGAGCCTGCTCTATGGCTTCCACTGGCCCTGGTCCCGGGGCCTCAGTGTCAAAGCTTTCTCCGCGGCAGCCACAGGAATTCTCCAGGCTGCTGCTGCTGTTCTCTGAACTCTTTGGCCCCAGAAACAGCTCTGTGAAGAGACTGGCTCGGAGCCACTGTCCTCCGTAAGCCACAGTATCTTCAAACTCTAGACCTTTACCATGTAGCCCACTCTGTCCTTTCTTCAGTACCACTCCCTCATTTATTCCTGCACCTCAGGATAGATGCTTCTCTCTTTCTAGAAATTCTTCCCTAATCTGAACCCTCTCACCACCCCTTCACAAGATCACCAATATCTGCACTGGATTCTCTCCTGTAAAGCTCCCTGACACCCTCCAGTGCCCAATTAGTTATGTTCTTTGGAGTTATAATTTTCTATCTGTCTCTTCTGCAGAGAAGAAACTCCACGAGGATACCATGCTGGGCACCAAGCATGGCCAACTGCAAGGAATTGAGCAGGCACTCGTTAGGGACCTTCATTCTACGGTCTTTCTCAATCCCTGACTTCAGTTAACAGTGTAATGACATCTTCATCCTTCACCACAAATTCATCCTGCAGTGCATCTCAGGTTTTCAGTACTTCATACCACATTAGGGAAAGGAATCCCTCCAAACCACAGACACATTGGTGGCCATCTAAGAGATTGCCTACTGAGGTTGATGTGGTGGTTCCAGCCTTAGTAAACTTAGAGACAGGTGGCTCTGTCTTTTGGTGTTGATGGAAGTGCTCTAAGAAAAGTCAGGTCTGGGTACAAGGATAGAGACTGGGACAGAGCAAGCTGCACTTGGCTGAGTGGCCCTGCTGAGTCACCCTGCTACAGGAGATGGCTTTATCATCAAGGCCAATTAGTTGCAGTAACCATTAACTAACTCAGAGTACTTTGTGAGGTTCTATGGATTTTTATGGGTATCCAAAGGTCAATAAACAAGCAGAGAATCAAAGAAATAAGGATGTATTTAAATCGTTTGGGTCAACTTAATTACTCTCACTTGCTGGCAACGTTTTCCAAGGTCACACAGCTAGTAGCTGACTCAGTTGAAGTCAGAATTTTTAACTTCTTTCTCATGTGAAGGCACTGCTACTCATTTACTCCCATGTTTTTTCTCCTTTCAGCTCTTTGCCAGTTGCTGGATGCTGAGATTCATGAGTCCAGCTTAGGTGACATAAACCAACGTGACAGCTTTGTGCAGTATGTCTATAGCAGAAGAACTTAAACTTTCATTCAGGCTCATTGTTAAGTCCAGAAATTTAAATGTGTTTTCTTCTAAAATTTCTCTAAGGCTACGGATAGGTGTCATTTTGTGATGGATGACTGTTTAATATTCAAAGACAGTGGGAATGAAGCGTTGATCTACATATGGGGAATAACCACTTACTTTGCCATTAGTGCGCATTCATGGAGGTTTTGTTCTGGCCACCGCAGGCTCAGTGCTCGCCCACAGACTCGTCATTGGGACCAAGGTGCATGGACTGCGGATGACCGTGCATGTCTCCTGGTGGCTAGTGTGGATCATATAAGCAACAGGTTGCTCGTCACAAAGGAAGACAATGTAACTAAATCTAGCTCGTTGTATTGAGGAGACATTGCTCGACAAAGTCATTTTTTTCCAACCACATAATACATTTCTGGGCAGTGGTTCCAAGTATAAAAGGCTCGGTAAGTCCTATTAGGGGCTCCCGCAAACTGAGCAAATGTCACCTGGGACAGGCAAAGACGTTTGCCCCCACCCAAACTGCACAGAACTAGGGAGACTCTGGTTGCACTCCCCAGTGGAAATGCCCCAGCTCAAGCTCCCCGTACACTCCACCCAACACTCCTGGTATTGTCACACCAAACTGAAATTTCTACAACACCCGCGTGGCAGAATGCTCACATTGACCTGCCCCGTGTTACAGGGCACAGCACTGTGTATAACATGCCTCCTCTCAGACAAGGAAAGTAAGGCTCCGAGGTATAAGTCCTCTCCTGTGGCTACCCAGGAACTGGGTGGGGACTTACAGAAACATTAGGGTTTTCCTGCAGCCCATGTTCCTCTCTATTAGGGGACTGTGTGGACTTCTTGTTGGCCCACAGGGAATTGAGGATTCCATGGAATCACATGGAAGAAGTCTAATGTGGTTTGGCGGGGGGGCAGCAGGGAGAGTATCCATGAAATCCAGTCCCGATACGTGGTTGTTCATTTGAGCCCTGGGAGATAAGCTGGAGTTGGCCAAGTGAGAGGGGTGGAGAGGAGTGCTACGTACAGAAGGGCAGGCCTGTGGACGCCTCTCAATTGCCTCCACTCCATACCTCTCATCACCCCAACGAAGAGTTAGAGAAACAGACATCTCACTCTAGAGTTTACACTCTGTCAACAGCCAGAGATGGCCTGCGACCAGAGACTAAGTCCAGTTTGTGTCCTGTGTGGATTACTGTCACAACCCATTAAGTGCTTTTCAGATCTTTCATTTGTTTGTATTCCGTGGTGTGCTTGTAAATATTTAACAAAAGACTGGGATAGAGTGAAGCCTTGACTTATAGCACTTGCCTTTTTCTACAATGTAAATACTCCCATCATGAAGGATTGCAATCTACCAATATGACATCAGTGACCGTCACAGGATGGCATTATCCTGTTATGTCCTTCACATGTGGGAAAATGTGGGAGAAGGACTTAAACTTGGCTGATTCAGGAGGTGCATGGGTTCAGTAAAGTAAAATGACTATTACTGTGAATGCATCATGTTCAAGAAATGAGGTCAGGATGGAGTAAAACAAAACACACAAGGTTAGATAAAGAAAAGGGAAATAAATAGCTAGTGCTTCTGGAATACTTGCATGCCTCTAAGTGGTTTGATATACAGGAAATAGAGTCACCCTGTGACATAGTTTCTACTGTAACCTCAGTACTACAGTTGGAGAAAACCAGGCCCAATGAGACCAAGCACTTAATCAGTGACTGAGCCCGGGTATTCAACACCTCACTAGGAAGGTGGTTTTGCCTTTCTTCATACTTACATCAGTTTTTAAGTTTTGCTGTTTCTGGAAGGTATGCTTTTTGTTAAAAACAAAGTCCCAATCTTATTTCTCCCTGGGAAATTCACCCTGTTGATTTTGTAGTGTTCTGTTTTACCTCTAAGTGTAATGTTTTGCCTTAAAATTTGCTTTGTCTGGTAGGGCTAGTAGGGCTGAACTAGCTGATGTTTGATAAATTATTTTCAGTGCAATGTCCCCCAAAATGCATATGTTGATATTCTAACCCCCAAGGTGGTTTTAGGAAGCGGGGCCTCTTGGTGGGGATAGTTCATGAGGGCTTTGTCCTCATAACAGTCATGCCTTTAAGCAGGAGACCCCAGATAGATAGATCCCTGACCCTTCCTCCATGTGAAGATGTGGAATTTAGGCATTGCCTGTGAACCAGGAAGCAGGTTCTCGTCAGACACTGAATGGGCCAGCACCTTGATCTTGGACTTCCAGCCTCCAGAACTTGGAGAAATAAATTCCTGTGGTTTGTAAGCCACCTAGTTTATGGTATTTTTGTTATAGATGCCCAAATAGACTGAGTTACAGAGTATACATTTTTCTCATTTTTTTTTATGGTCAACTTTTCCGTGTCCTTAAATATGCTTATGTATGGTGTTTGTCTTCAAACAACATACGATTTTTTAAAAATATGCAGGTTGTTAGCCTCTGCCTTTTCATTGTAGTAGTCATGGTTGGGGAGCTGGGTTCACTGTTTAATATTGGATGAGAAGGGACCAAAAAATACTGACAGCAGAAGCCAGAATGGCAGGACAAAATACGATAAGTGTGATTATACAAAAGCCAAAAGCACAGTGTTTCAAGAATGAAGAATTAAGTGAATGCTGCTGAGTAAAGGTGAGGAATGAACGTGTTAATTATATTGATGGATGCGGGCATCATGGTGAATCAACACAGTGATTCTAAGAGATGTATAGGTGGGGAAATTCCATTTATGGCATGACCAGACCTGCATCCCAGGAAAATGAGTAGATTCCTTTTAAAATGAATCCATTTAATATGTCCAGAAATAGTCCTAAGAGCATACAGCAAATAAACGTTGATTCAAGAAAATCTACTAAAATTTAGCACTATCTCCCCCTAGCTCCCAGAGGGCCCTCTTTTAAGTGTATAATGGCAGCGTCTCTCACCCTGCCCCCAGCTATCTGTTGCTGAGATTAAGTTCTGGGCAAGTGGATTTGAGACATGGACATTTGACATGGCAGAAGTTCTACGTTGGTGCAGTGCCACTGAGAATATTGGCTCATCGGGCAGGGGTTCCATGCCAGGAGGGGTGTTTTATAATCTACCCCGGATTTGATCAGGTATCACTAGGTGACAGACACAGAGGCAAATACCTATATGAGAAGATTTTATAACATATTTTCCAAAAGAAGGGGATCCACCGCTCCACATAGGGCCACATAGGAAAGCACCGTGTCTGGTCAGGAGGTAGAAAGGAGCCAGAGGAAAGCATGACCCAGAGCCTTTATAGTGGTTTCCTAGGGAAATGAAGGCAGGGCAGGGGAGACACCTTAGGATTGGCTAGTTCAAGTAATTTTGGTGGACTCTGAGCTATAAGGATGGTCTCCTGTCTGGTACCCAGCCCTGAGTCGATTTAGGACAGTTTGCTTAGTATAAGGGAACGGGAGGAGTGGAGAGCAATATTTAAAAATCATGAGATTTCTTTTTGAGGTGATAAAAATGTTCTAAAATTAATTTTGGTGATCGTTGCACATATCTATAAATATACTAAAAACCATGGAGTTGTGTACTTTATATGGGTGAACTGTATGGTATCTGTCTCAATAAAGCTTTTCTTTTTTTTTTTTTTTCTTTTTTTAAGGATTTAGTGTTAGGGCGAAATGTCAGATTGAAATAGATGACACTCTCTTCTCCTTCCCTATTCATCAATCACCTAGATGACAGAGATCATCCACACAAGAGGCGATCCCAGCTGGGAACCATCTGTTGTCATCTAGGATCAATAACCATAGATAGCAGATAAATCCAGGCAAGAACAAGTAAAGAATCAGAGAGACCCATGCTCTCATCTCCACATTCAACTCTTCCCCAAGTCATTCCTCAAGTCCAAGGCCAGAGTGAGCTAATCATGCCATGTCAGTCTGGATCACTTTTTGGGCTGTCCCAAATGCGTGTGTGGGGTAGACAGATTCAAACCTGATTCATTAAGTGAGCATATTAGAAAACTTTATTCAAGGCTACATATTCATCCCCTTGGTATTGCTCCAGAGAACCTTTAATTTTCATAAATCTTTGTTGTCCCCTTGTGTACAGTGTCCAGCACTGAGTTGCCCTAGGGAAAGCAGCTCAATTGTAAATCATCACCTACAATTCAGAGGAAATATGGGTTTGGTGTTCATATTTGAAATCCAGCTGGGTTCCTCTAATCATGACATCTATTTAGGGCATGTCTTTCGCAATCAACAGCTCCACAAATCTCTGATGTATAATTTCAGGAGCTCCAAAGGAGGGCTCTGAGTATCTCTAGAGATATGTGAACTCTTCTTACAGTTTAAATATGACACAAAACTTACATTACCCTAATTACACAAATCTTTCTCAACCCACCTTATGTGATGTAGTGGATGATGAAAATATTCTTTATATCACAATGTGTTGTGTGTTATACGTTACATTATGTGAATGTCATGTAATATGAATATGTTGTGTTAATGTATGCGCTCTATTTCTATTTGCTTGTAAGGGTCATTGTGATCTTCATGACTCTGGAGACCATCTTTATTTTGTTAGGATTCTACCATTTTACATCAACTTGGAAAAATACTTGGCACATAATAAAAATTAAAAGGAAATATTGGATAAATAAAAGAATAAATGAAATAAGCAAAAACAGCTTAAGATCAAGCTCTGGAATATCGTTGTGATTTCTGTATCAGACATTTCTGGTTTGAACCTTTGCTCTCAAAATTTCACTTGCTAAAAAAGTGTAATGTCTTTAAAGCGCAATTTTGTGTGTTTAAACTAGCAGCATTCATTTGTCCCTGCATCTGTTTCTCGGTTCATTTAACAATCTTGAGACTGGGAGGGGCCATCTTGTGATGAATTCCTTAGGGAAATCACCTTCCCAGACAGCAAGTGTTAGCTTCAGTATGTCAGCAGAGATCATGAAACCAAGGGGAAAAATGATAAAACCAAACAAGGCCCAGTTCTGGGACAAACTCGCTGCCTTAGACGAGTCCACAGGCCTCTTGGGGAAGGTTGCCTCATTCAGAGAATGAGCAGAACACGGCTTGATCAGGATTCAAAACATCTGACCCCTGCAACTCTGGTCTCTCTGTAGCCATGGGGTCTCTGGATGCATAAAGCTTTTTCTTCAGACCACACAGCTTCCCAAACTACCACCAAAGTCCCTCTAAATAGCAAGAAGAATTATATTCTTGGTAGATGGTCTGAAGAAAACACCAAAGAAACTGCTAAGGTACAGGTTTATCTTGAGAATTCTTGGATCTCTTGGTCATCCCTCTTGTTCCAGCACCACCAGGTACTCAGAAGACTTTCTCAGCCCAAGAAGCTTGCTCCAAGAAAACCCTGGAGGGGTGGAAACAGCAGGGGCTTTGGAGTCAGCAAGACTTGAATTCAAAAATCATCTCTTTTTCTGTGTGACCTTGAGCGAGTTACTTAATCTCCCTGTGCCTAAGTTTATACACCTGGAAATTGGAGATTTTAGTAGAAACGAACTAAGAGACAAGTTAAAAGGATGAGATAAAACCTTAAATGGAAAAACACTTTGGGTCAGGGACAACAATCAGTAAATGCTAGCTGCTACTACTAGTGGTGGTGGTAATAAGAAAAAAGCCAAGTAACAGTGTGTGTTAGCTGCTATTTTGATTAATACCACCTAGTCACCGAACTGGGAAACCAAAACTAGCTTCTCACATTCACCCTTAAATACCCAGTCCCCCAAAATGCGCTCATAGGGCCACACTAGTGCAAACACAAGCCCTGGTCCCCCACTACCTCACACACTGGGATTTCTAAGAAATATTTGTTCTCCAGGCACAGAACTCCTCAAACCCTTGGAATTTCCTAAGTGTTGAAAGTGATAAAAGAATCTTTTGTAACCTTCATCAGATGACTGGTTGTGGAAAGCCTCTAGGATGGGGGCTGGTTGCCAGGACACCAACGAAGCATCAGAGGGTTGAAACTTTCATTTCCACCCCAGACCTCCTAGGAGGGGCGAAGGGCTGGAAATTGAGTTTAATCGTCAGTGGTTTAGTCAGTCATGGCCATGTAATGAAGCCTCCATAAAAACCCAAAGGATGGCTTTTAGAGAGCTGCTGAGGGGTAAACACATGGAAGTGTGGGAAAAGTGGCACGCTCAGGGAACATGGAAGCTCCAAGGCCCTTCCCATGTACTTTGGCCCATGCATCTCTTCCATCTAGCCATCCTGAGTTATATATCCTTTTATGATAACCAGTGGTCTAGGAAGTAAAATATTTCTCTTAGTTCCATGAGTCACTCTAGCAAATTAACCAAAGCCTAGAAGGGGAATCATTTGCTGGTCAGTCTAATGCACAGGTGAAAACCTGGACTGTGATTGGCAGCTGATGTTGGAGACTTGTGTGGGGGTTAGCGACAGGCTTGGGGACTGAGCTGTAGGAGCTGACACTATAGCCAGCTACATAGTGTCAGAATGGGTGTAAGACATTCAGCTGATGTGTTGGAAGGAAAACTGCTTCATGGTGGGGAAAAAAAATCCACACACTGGCATTGGAATCAAAATTATATATACATACACATGTATAAAAATACAAAAATTGGGTCTCTACACTCAAGGTCTCAAACAGTGATTTCCTATACACAAGCACAAAAACTGGGCTACATACATATACAAGGACACTTCCACAAACACACACATATTCACAATCCGTGATACCACACACGCAC